CGGAAAACAGCATTATCTTCCATCTTAGCTGTAGCCCCGACACAAGTTAACCTTGAAGGAGAGATGTGAACCAAATAAATGCAGCCTCATGAGGACTAGATCCTTCGGTGTAGCCCACGCCTGGGTGGAAGGGGCTACTGATAGCAGTTCACCCCTTGGGGGCTGAAATGGAGCCTCTCCTGAGCCGGGGCTCAACATAAAGAAGAGCCCCCTCCCCATGCAGCAGCCTCGGGGAGGGGCACCCGGTTTCCACCAGCCTTTTAGGACCACAACTCCGCCATTCCTGTGCTGGCTGGGGCTGCTGGGAGTTGGGAGCCCCATACATCTGGAGCAGGGCAGGGTGGAAGGGTGTTTTATGCAGATCGCTTGATGCTGCAGTGAAACGGGGGGGGGGGGGGGGCCCTGGGCGGGTGCGCATGCATGTGTGGATAGATATGAAATGAAACTTGTCATGTCGTTGGAGCGCAACGAGGCAGCCTCATTAGCAGCTGTAAATAATTCATGCCCGGCCTCAGCTGGCACGCTCTGCTCCCCCCCCCCCACTGTTCTCGTCTAGGGAAAGTGGGTTCCATGTGCAGCGCCTGTTCAAAACAGGCTGGGGGGGGGTCCTGTGAGGGGCCGGGGAACCCTGGGCTGTCTTCTCTGAGCTGCCGCACAGCCCATCCCAAAAGGGGGAGGGGGGTCCTGAAGGCGGGGGCCCCCAGCTCTCCACACCCCTGTGACACCCCGCATTCACCATCCGACCCCTGATGTTCAGAGGCACACTCCTGGAAATGGCAGTGGTATTTCTGAGCATGTGCGGAGTGCATTCCCCACTCTGGGCTCAGAACTCCCCGCCCCCTAATGGATGCACACCGATGAGGGAGAGGACTCCTGGCTGGGGCTTTCTCTGCCCTTGAGGACTCCAGAGACTGGGGGGCAGTTGAGGTTTGGGGTCAGCTAGCGGTGCGCGGCTTTCCTCCTCGCCTCCCTCACGGTGCGTGTGTGAGGGAACCTGTGGGCACGGCACTGCGGTGCCCTCCCCGCCGGCTGTGGAAAGGCTTGTCCCGAATGCTCTAGTCCTCAGTGACCTGGCCGCCTTCCTGCCTGCCTGTTAGAAGGTCTTTCACTCCTCCATGTAAGAAAAAGATCCCCGTTCTCAGAAACTTAGCATGGCGGGGAGCTGTGTGCTATCCTGACCTTTCCTTGGTGTTCTAATTTTCTGTTGAAAGCAGGCTCCCCCCCCCCCAGCACACACACGCAGCACACACACACACACACCCCTTTGGGAGAAATTGCTTTTCGGAGCAATTAAGCTTGCTGCAGGAAATTCTAGGCCACGCCGACCCAGCAGCTGGAGCTTTGGAGTGGGGGCTGCGTGCCGGCGCACCGGCTGTGCACAGGGCTTTGGGGGGCTGCCATCTTTCGTGTCAGGGCCACCTTTGTGGAGGGGCAGCCCGGTGTTGTGTCCGTTCGGTGCAGCACCTGTGGCTGCACCTTGTCGGTCCCTGTGACGCGGTTTGCCCGTGGGTGGGGGGGGTCGTTCACCGACACATTTGCACTCGCGTTACCACTCATAGTGGGACAGAGCAAGGTGCCTTGCGGGAGGCCCCGGGACTCCCGCTCAGTCCCAAAGCCCGGCTTGCAGGATTTGACAAAAGATTGGCCGCCTTAGGGACTAGGAACTTGTTCTCTTCTTTGACTTCCTTAAGGAAACAAAATGCCGAGGTTCCTGAGATAAATGAGTCCTGATCTCCGCCTCGGATTCCGCTTTGGACAGGTTGGCTGGGGAATTGCATTTGGCTTTTGAGATACAGGAACATGTTCGGCTTTTCTTTGGAAGTTTAGTAATCGAACTCGCTCAGAATGTTACACACAGAGGGGATGCTGGCCGTTTGCGACGTAAGCACACGGGTGCGCGTGCAAAGGCTTCCGCAATGGGCCGTCCTCCAGGTGGGTGAGACCGCAGTTGGAGCACCGCTGCCCGGGGATGCTGGGGGTTGCAGTCCATCCAGCCCGTCTCTCTTGCGCAGCCCACGCCGGTGGGTGCCGAGATCCCGACCGTCCACGGCGCCCCCCGTCAGCCGGCCCGCCCTCTCCCGCGCGCGCACGGCACCACGCAGGCCCCCAGGCGGCCGCATGTGCAGGGACTGTCCCGTGCTGCTCCCGCCTGCCCCACCGCAAACACGCTCCCGCACGTTCCGCCTGCGGCCGCCCACACACAGCTGCCAGCCCACTTCCCCTGGGCCCCCATGCTGGGGAGCAGTTGGGGGGCTGCCGCTGCCCCCCCTTCCCTCCCATGCACCTTGTCCTACTCTCAGAGCTTTGGAAAAAATCTCTTTTCGGTGGATGGAGATCATTGACTTCTCATCTGCAACGGGAAGAGGCAGGGCCCAGAGGTCCGGGGGCTTTGCGGAGCCCCGGAAGGGGTCAGGATTGGTGTGGGGTGTGGAGGGGGACGGAGACCAGGGCCCCATCCCTGGGCAGGGTGTGGGGCTGGTGCGTACTCAGGCTGTGGGTGGATGGGCAGCCAGGACTCCTGGGGGCTCGGCGGGAGGGGTCGCAGCCAGTCCGGGCTCACCCAGTCTGGCTGCCTCCCCCACCCACTGGGGATGATGGGGGTGCTCGCATCTGACGAGGCCACGAAGGGAAAGGCTGAATTGGGCAATACAAGGCTGAACTGGGCAAGGGAGGAAGGAAGTTCCGTCTAGGCTGGGGGGGGGTAGGGGCTGAGCTCCTGGGTTCTGCCCCCCCACCCCCTCCAGGGCCCGATGCTCGTCCTTTGCTGGGAGGCCCAGCTGAAGTGCGTCTCGCTTGTTTTGGGGTGCTGGAAAGGGTCCGGGCTGGCAGGGGGGCACCCCCAGGCACTTCCCCCCGGCCGCCTGAACAGTGCAGCAGGAAGATGCGGCAGCCGACACCGAGAGGTGCCAGGGAGCCCGGCTGAGCCGCGCGAGGGGCAGGATGCGCCAGCGAGGGGGTCTCGGGCTGGCGGACGGGGTCCCGGCCCCTCCCGGTGGGGGGCAGCGGGCCTTGCGGTACGAAGAGCTGCCCCCTCACACCTGCACTGCCCACCCGGCATTGGCATTTCAGGTTTGGGGAGCGGGGGGGCTCGCGGGGGGCCAAGAGCATCCGAAAGCCCCAAAGCACCCCGTTGCCAGAAAGCGTTTGGGGTCCGGGGACTTCCCTTGCTTTTATGTGATTTGTTACGCACATCGCTAGCAAGGTGACAGCCGAGCGCAGTAAAACGCCGTGGAAATATTCCTGGCACAGTAACGAAGCCGAGGAAATTCATTAGCGCCCCTCCCCCACCACTGCCACCCCAGCACACGCTCACACACACGCACACACGTGTGCTGGCCGTAAAGCGCCTGTGCGGGGCACCATTAAAACCTGTATAATTTCCTCGCGGCTGTGGGCTGTTTTCCCGGCCCTTTGGGCACAGTGCTGTGCAGGTTTCAACAGAGAAAAGGCCTACAACTCCCAGCATGCCATGCAGTGGGCCTTCAGTCTGAGCCTGCCCTTAGATGCTCGAATCACTTGCTCAAAGCTCAGAACCTCAAGATGGTGGGTTTTGTTTTTCAAGTAAGTTTCTAGTCCTTATGGCTTTCCGAGCATGGCTGACTGGATGTGTTGGGAAGCCAGACGCTAGACTAAAGGGAGGTGAGGTCTGATCCTGCCTCTCATTCTTGGTTTCTTAGTCGTGCAGCTGCCAGCACCGCCCTGAAGCCCTCCCCAGACCTGCAAAATCGTGAAATGGTGGCGAAGGATCTCGCAGATCCTTTTCCATTTCTAGAGTTAAGAAAGACGGGCAGTGTCTGGAGCTTGCCTTTGGGATTCCCCTCACCTTCCTCTTTCTGCGGTGGGGTTCTGTAAATGGAGACCTGTTGGACTGGGGATGCTGGGAGCTGAGGTCCAACACATCAGGGGAGCGCCAGGTTGTGTGGGTGCCCTCTCCCATCTGCCCCATTGGCTTCTCTTTGCCCCACGCTGTGGGTTTATTCTTCCTCTCGGGGGCAACAGGGTGCTGCAGCTCCAAACCCTCGTGCCCAAATCCCCCCCCCCCCGAATAAGCTTGTCTCACTGCCGGCACAAAGGTGGGGCGGCTGCAGCCACCGCGGCGCATCCTGAAGCCCGCCCGGCGACACCCCGTTGCCACAGTAACCTCCTCCCCCTGATGCAGATGCTGTTGCCATGGCGTTGCCATGGCGGCCGTTCTCGGCGGGCAGCGGCGGTGGGGGACCAATTCTTCTGGAGGAGAGCGAGAGCGCAGGGGGGAGCCGGTCGTGCTGCCGGGGCGAGGGGCCGTGCTTACCCCCTCCCCGAATCCAGGGCACGGCCCTCCCATGGCGCCGGCGGGTACCAGGGCGGGCGACTTGGCCCCCTTTGCTGCGCCCTCCGTCCCGGCCCCTCCGCTAGCCCTGTGCCTGCAGGACCACCCGCCAGCTGCCCCCCGGGCTTGCTCACGGCTGGGGCGCGCGAGAGCCATGAAGGACGCCTTTATTTTGCCGAGTGGGTGGGGGCGCACGTGACACGCTGGGGTGAAGGGGGGCTGCCTGCCTTTTGGGGTGGGGGCTGCCGGCTTTGTGTGAGGACAGGGCGAAAACATTCTGGAAGCTCCGTCTTGCCTTGACCCTCCCTCTGGAAGGGTGGCCGGTTCCTCCGTGCTGCCGCGGGTTCCTCTGGCCCAGGCCCCCCAGCCCTAGCAGGTGCTGGACTGCAATGCCCATCGGCCCCCTCGGTGGGTGGCCGGGTGGCCCAAGCCGTTGCTGCCTCCCACCCCGAGTGAGCATCTTTTGACAGCCCTCCCACCGCTGTCCGGGGCTGCTGCCTTCTGGATGTGGGGCCGAGTCCATGCAGAGCCGTCTCCGGGCGACCTTTGCCTGTGGGGCTCCCCAGGGGAAAGATGGCTTCCGGGTCTGGAGACCCCCCCCCCCCCCGGGCCTGTCTTTGCTGGCTTTGCATCCCCTTCAGGCTCCTTTAACCATATCATTTCCTTTCTCTCTCTCTGTTGCTCTCCCTAGGCCAATTCCCCACCCGTAATTGTGAACACCGACACCTTAGAAGCACCAGCTTATGTGAGTAATGAGCGGCATGCGTCCGTCCCCTTGTCCGTCCCCCCCCACACCCTCCGTGGCACCTCGAGCTTTCCCTCCTGCTCGGCTCGTCCTTCTCCAGCGGCCACCCCGCATTCCTGAGTCCCGCTGCTCAGTTGCTCCGCCTTTTAGCAATCCTAAACGTCTTGCAGAAATATTCCTCATTTTCCTCCGGTCTTCAGGAGCCGGGCATAACCCAACTCCACCCCTCTCCCCCGCAGGTAAATGGAACAGAAGGTGAAATGGAGTACGAAGAGATAACTTTGGAACGGGTAATTCCTGGCGTGGGAGCCGGCGGGGCGGTGGAGGTGGTGAATTCATGCCGTCCAGGCGGGGCGGAGAAGCGGGGTCTGGGTTTGGGTGCGAGCTCCGATTAACCTCGGGCGGGCGGGCGGGCTGGCGCTCTCTTGCAGGGCAACTCTGGTTTGGGGTTCAGCATCGCCGGCGGCACCGACAACCCCCACGTGGGGGACGACCCCAGCATCTTCATCACCAAGATCATCCCCGGGGGAGCCGCTGCGCAAGACGGCCGGCTACGGTAAAGGCTGGGTGTGTGTGTGGGGGGGGTCCCAGCCGCTGCCCCGAGCGCCGTTTTCCTGGCATGGGAGTCCGGGGGTGGCTTCTCTGGGCCAGCGCCCCCTTGGGCTGCAGGACCCACTGGCCCCAGGGAAGATTCTGCCCAGGAGAAGCTTTGGGGAGCCGGGGGGGAGGTGGCCAAAAGACCACGAGGGCCCCCATTCCAGGACGAGGCGCCCCCTGCCCCGGCGGCAGCAGTGCTGGAGGAAAGGTGGGTCCTGGGGCCGCCGGGTGGGGGCAGCGCCTTCGTGGCATGTGCTCTGGGTGCCAGCGGCCGCCCCCTCCCCGTCTTTCCCCCTGGCAAGGTCGCTGCCCCACCTGGCATTGCCCGAGCCCCCAGGCTGCGCCAGCCTCCCCTCGGGCCCCGGGTTGGGGGTCGGTGCCCCCCCCATGCTGACGGCCCCCTTCGGCCCTGTGCCTGGTGCAGGGTGAACGACAGCATCCTCTTCGTGAACGACGTGGACGTGCGGGAGGTCACGCACAGCACGGCGGTCGAGGCGCTGAAGGAGGCCGGCTCCATCGTGCGCCTGTACGTCATGCGCAGGAAGCCCCTGGCTGAGAAAGTGATGGAGATCAAGCTGATCAAGGGCCCCAAAGGTGAGGTCCCAGCAGCCCCGCTCGGGGCCCGGAGGCCGCCTCTGCCCCACGGGCGCCCTTCTCCCCGGCAGGCACCCTCAAACTCGGGCCTCCCCAGGTGGCAAGCTCTCGAGGTGCAGGACTGCAGCTCCCATCAGCCCCCCTGGCTGCACTCCTGGAGGGGTCTGGGCTCAGGAAGGGCTCTCGGGAGAGAACTGCCTTCCTAGAGGAAGCACATCCCACGGGTCACGTGGCCCCACTGCGCCTCCCACGAAAGGCCACATCAGTGCGAGAGAGAGCTCTCGCTTTGGCTGTCCTCCGTTGGAGACAGGGCACTGGGCTCTTCCCCTGACCCAGCCTAGGCTGTTCTTGCATTCATACCTTCCTAGGAAGAGCCCGAAGGCAAGGCCAGCTGCCTGCTACTGCGGAGAAACTGCCCTGCTTAACGATCCACAGGGAGCCTCTGGCCATGTCAGAAGTGCCAGGCTCGCTCACCTTCGGCCCTCCCTCCCTCCCTCCCCACCCACAGGTCTCGGCTTCAGCATCGCGGGTGGCGTCGGGAACCAACACATCCCCGGGGACAACAGCATCTACGTCACCAAGATCATCGAGGGCGGGGCGGCCCACAAGGACGGGCGCCTGCAGATCGGGGACAAGATCCTGGCGGTGAGGCCGGGCCCTGCGCCTCCTCTGGCATGGCGGGCCGGCATGCGCGGGGTGGCCTCGCCAGTGCGCTGCACCGCAGGCGGCTGGCCTATAATCCCAATGCGCATATGCAGCAGTGCAAAGCGAATCTCTGGAACAAGGAGATCTGGGAACCTGTGGAAAATCCTTGCAATGGCACAATCCTTTGAATGGCCCCAGCCATTCAGTTGAAAGGTTCCTGCATGCACAACCCCCAGGTGTGGCTTCGCGGGTGCTTTGCGCATGGTGCCCTGGAATTTGGGATGGGGAGGGGGGCTCCTTTCAGCCACCAACAATCACATTCACACCTGTCTCACTTCCTTTTAAAAAGAACCCAAGATGGCTTGGACTATGCTCTCCCTCTCCGTTTTACCCTCCCCACAACAACCCTGTGAGGGAGGCTGGGCTGAGAGGCCATGATTGGCTCAGAGTCTCCCAGTGAGTAACATGACTGAGTGGAGATTCGAACCCAGCACTCCCAGTCCCTCAGCTGCGCTGGCGCTTGTTCCACCGTGCCGTTGGGTTCCTGCTGGTCTGCCCCGTTTTGCACTTCCCAAATACCTTAACTCCATATATACCCAGTCCCCTCCACCCATCAGAGTGAAGGGCCCGATCCACCATAGCCTCTGGGCTAATCTCGAGCGGTCAGCGGCCCCTTCCCTCTGGCTGATTTTCTGCCTTCTTGGTGACTTATGCACACTTTTTCCCGCTCTGAAAAGTCAAGATGCCGGTCCAAAGGCTTCATCACTGCTGGCAAGACCATTTTAGTTAGGCCAATATCCTTTGCGTTTTGGCTCCCCCATCTTTAGCTGTGTCCCCTGCTCCACGCTAAAACATGTTCCAAAGAGCGTCGCAAAAATGGATTTTTTTCTTTTTTTATGATAAGTTTTATTCAAAATTATAACCCTAAAACAAAGAAAATCTAAAAACAACATCAGTCATCAAAAACATCGGACCTGCTGGGTCAGAACCAATGGAAATCTGTTCTCAGGCTGAAAGGCATTCACCCCCGTGCCGGATCCTAAACTCTAGGATACCCCACTTAAACTAGAGGTACAGCAGCCCTTCCCTTCCTTGATTTTGGGGGAAGGCGAGCTCAGCATGGAAGTTCCAGGTGTCTTCCGCATGTGGCCGATTACGGCACTGGGAGGCAGGGCAGAATTTGCCCGGATCGTGGGGTCTGAGCTGCGAGCAAAGCGCTAAGAGGCCCGTGCTTCCTCTAGGGCCAAGCAAGGGGTCACACCGTCCCCAAGCTGCGCCCAGGGATGGTTCGGGTCCCAGGTCTGAGGCCGGAGGAAGCGGTGAATCTGAGCAGCAGCCTTGCAGCCACGGAGAAGGTGCCGTGGCCACGGTGGGCTCTTGTCCTTCCGTGGCAGGCCAGCCCTCCCAAACGGGTGCCCTCCAGAGCCACTGGACTGCAGCAGTGCTCCTCGTGCTCGGCCAGTGGGGCGGAGTGGCCGTCCAGCACGTCCGGGGGGCTCCAGCTTTGGGAAGGCTGAAACCAACACGGAGAGAAGACATCGCAGCAGCAACTGAGAAAGCCCTGGGCTGAACCCGGGCTGCATCCGGTCCGCATCAAACCAGCACAATGGACCGGGCATCCTCCCGGATGTCTGGTGTGGACAAGCGCCTCTGCTGCGGCCCTGCGCGTGCCTACTCGCGAGGAAGCCTCTGCGTGCCGTGGTGGCTCGGGCGTTTCCTGGCAGGGCCGCTTTGTGCAAGCCCGTCAGCCGTTCCTGCAGCCCCCAGGGGGAAGAGTGTTTCCGTGGCGGCCCACGGGCCACGCCACCCTTGACCTGGGTCAGATCCCTGCGAGGGCCACGGGGGGGCGGGATGAGCAAAGACCCGGGTCTTCATCGCTCTGGGGGCAGGGCACCGGCCTGCTGGGTGGGCCGGACCGTGGATCGGGTCGGCCCCTCTGGCCTGTGTTTCCCACCCGCAGGGGCTTTGGGGGCACGAGGCGCCCCCCCCGACAACCGCCGCCCTCCGAATGGGGGCTGACGGGCGCCGTCTCCCCTGTCCCCCCTCGCCAGGTGAACAACGTGAGCCTGGAGGACGTCATGCACGAAGACGCGGTGGCTGCCCTGAAGAACACGTACGACATCGTCTACCTGAAGGTGGCCAAGCCCACCAACGTGTACCTGAACGACTCGTACGCCCCGCCGGACCTCACGTCGTGTGAGTGTGGCCCCGGCCCTGGTGCTGCAGCAGCCCCGGGGCAGAGCCATCGCGCGCGCCCCGGCCATGCTCGATCTTGCTGGGGGGGGGGGCAGGGGCGAGGAGACAGGGCCCCATCTGCTTCCGAAGCTGTGAATGTTTACCTTCCCGCCAAGACTGTGCTTTTATTGCTGCATCTTTACGTGTTGCCTCGGGACACGGTTGGGCAGCCATCTGCCCCAGCCATCTGCCCCCTAGAGCAGTCAGACTACAACTCCCAGCATCCCCCAGCCAGGGTCTGTGGTTTGTACTCCGGCACATCGCGAGGGCGGCGGGTTGGCAGCGGCCAGTCGAGGCTGCGCAGCGCAATCGGTCGTCCTCCGGTGACTCACTTCCCTCCTGCTGCCCGCCGTTGGGTCCTTTCCAGCTGGCAGCCCTCTGGCGGCACACTCTCCAAGACGTCCTGTCCTTGAGCTCCTCGCCCGCCCGGCTCTGGGAAACCCAAGGCGGAGGCAGTTCCTCTCCAGCGCATAATGCTGGAGCACAACTGCCGTTCACGTGGTTCTTTGCAACCCCTCTGCAGCAGCCGCAGCTCTTTATTTATTTATTTTTTCAATTTATATCCTGCCTTTTTCCTACAAAGGGCTCAAGGCAGCTTACATCATTCTCCTCCTCCATCTTATCCCCCCAACAACAACCCTGCGAGGTAGGCTGGGCTGAGAGTCTGTGACTGGCCCAAAGTCACCCAGTGGGCTCCATGGCTGAGCGGGGACTAGAGCCCAGATCGCCTGAGTCCCAGTCCCCTGCTCTTAACCACGACGCCACACTGGTTCTGCGGGTCCTGGTTTGGCACGCCAAGGACTGAGGGTCCACCCCATGGCAGCCGTGAGAATCAGAGAATCCTAAAAGAATGAGGCAGGGGGGGCTGCGAGACCGCCGAGTCCGGCTCGTGCTCCGTGCGGGACCACGAATAAAAGCGTTCCTTTCGGAGGGCTGCCCGGCGGTCCTGTGAATGCCTCCGTGGTGGGAGAGCCCCCACCCCCCTGGTCTGGGGGCTCCATCGCTGCTCCTTGGAGGTTCTTCCTGACGTCCAGCCTGAGCCGGGCTTCCCACCAGCGTTATTCTCCGTCCTGCGCTCCGGGGTGACCGAGAAGTGACCCCGGCCCTCCTCTTCACCACGGCCCTTTGAGTGGAACCCGTGCCCGAAACCCCAGGAGAGCTGTGGCTGCTGGTCTGTGCACACCATGCTGAACTAGCAGGACAGTTTTGGTGGGAATGCACCTCCCATCATCCGGCCGCTTGCCGCCTTGCCTTGAGAGGCCGGCTCCATGCCCGGCGGGTTCGGCCCTTTCATCGTCCCCGTAAGTGCTTTCCCATCTGTTCCCCCGCAGCTTACTCCCAGCACCTGGACAACGAGATCGGCCACCAGAGTTACCTGGGCACAGACTACCCACAAGCCATGACCCCCACCTCGCCTCAGAGGTACTCCCCCATCCCGAAGGAGCTGCTGGGCGAGGAGGACATACCCAGGTAGGTCCTGGTGGACCCCGCCGTCGTCCCCCCCCCCTGCCCTGCCCCCATGCCTTCTGGCTCGGCGTGGCTCCTGCTCTGGCACAGGGGGTGTCCCGGCCCCGGGCGCGCCCCTCCTCACCCCGTGTCCCCGCAGGGAACCGCGCCGAATCGTCATCCACCGCGGCTCGACGGGGCTGGGCTTCAACATCGTGGGCGGCGAGGACGGCGAGGGCATTTTCATCTCCTTCATCCTGGCCGGGGGCCCGGCCGACCTCAGCGGGGAGCTCCGGAAAGGGGACCAGATTCTCACGGTAAGGCCGGCCTCCTCCGTGCCGCGCCAGCGATGCGCGGGGGCGCTGCCGCACCGCCCGCGTGACGCCGCCTCGCCCACCATCTCTGCAGGTCAACGGCGTGGACCTCCGAAACGCGACGCACGAGCAGGCGGCCATCGCCCTGAAAAACGCCGGGCAGACGGTCACCATCATCGCTCAGTACAAGCCCGACGGTGCGTTCCAGCAGGCCGGCCTCGGCGTCCCTGTGCACAGCCGGAAGGCGGAGGCCCTGCTTCCGTCTGCTCCTTCGGGGCGCGTGGGGCGCCTGGGGAGGGTGCCGCGCCTCCCCCCGTCCCTGCCCCGCATGTTCCCCGGGGACCTCTTTCAAGCCAGCTTGCCTCTGGGACCACCGAGGCACTCGCTTTGTGGGCCAGTGGGACCGCCGGGAAGCGGGGGGCTGCTCTGAAGGGGGGGCTCCCTTCGCAGGCCGGGGCCCCCGAGAAAGGGCCTTGTGGCCATGTGGTGTTCCACGCCGTTGCTCGGTCTGCTGGATGGAAAGGCTTCCGTGGGGTGGATGGCCGACTGGGCGTGCAGAACGCCCGGAGAGGGAGGGGGCCTCGGCTGGGCGGACGGGGGGCCGTGGTGGTGGGTGAGCGGCGGGGAGGCTGTTCGTGGGCTGGGGGGAGGCATGAGGGAAGGAGGCCGTGGCCCCCGAGGGATGGTGAAAGACTGAGCCCAGATGAAAGGCTTTTAGATTTTCTGTCCCGCTTTTAACATTCTGGTCTGGACTTTGATTTCGATGAAAGGAGAACTTTGAGGGGGGTCAGGCCTGAGCGCTGGGGGTGCTGGGCAGTGGGCTGCCTTCGGGGAAGCAGAGGGGGCTGACGCTCCTCCCCCCGCAGAGTACAGCCGCTTCGAGGCCAAGATCCACGACCTCCGGGAGCAACTGATGAACAGCAGCTTGGGCTCAGGGACGGCGTCGCTGCGGAGCAACCCCAAGCGGGGCTTCTACATCCGGTGAGCCCCACTGGCCGCCCCCGCCCAGCCGGGCCGGCCCCGAACAGCGAGCCCCCCGGCCCCCACCTTCCTTGTCTGGTGCTCTCCAGCCGTGCCGGACGGGAACGTGCCGGCTTCCTGCCGGGAACCGGCTTCCTGAAAAGCACGTGGCCGATTTTGCGGCTACGGATGGCAGCATCCGCCCGAGCGTTGCCTCCGAGCCCGGTCTGCGCGGCGAAGCCCGGCTCCCCCGAGGGCCCTCGCCCGCCTGCCTGCAAGTCGGGCCCCTGGAAGGGCTGCTGCGGGCCTGGGGAGGGCGAGCGAGCGAGCGAGCGTCGGGGCAGCCACAGTCGCGCTCACGCAAGGAGGGATCGTGTGGCGGGGCCTTTCCTCGGAGGACGGAGCCGAGTCGGGAGCGGGGCCTCGCCTTGCGCTGCCCCATTGCGCTGAGGCGGGAGCGGCCCCACGGTGCCCACCTTTCCCCAGGCAGCCGTGCTGATTGGCTGGCGATTTTTTCGGCGCACCGGAGGCCATTTCAGCCTAACCGGGCTGGAGACCGCCGACCTGGATCACCCGCCACCTGTCCCCTTGGCCTGTGGGACTCGTGCTGGGGAGGGGCTCGTGCTGACCCCGCGCTGCCGGCCCTGCCTCCCCCCAGGGCGCTCTTTGACTACGACAAGACCAAGGACTGCGGCTTCCTGAGCCAGGCGCTGAGCTTCCACTTCGGGGACGTGCTGCACGTGATCGACGCTTCCGACGAGGAGTGGTGGCAAGCCCGGCGTGTCCACCCGGACGGCGACAGCGACGAGATGGGATTCATCCCCAGCAAGAGGCGGTAACGAAGGCGGGCCTGGCCCCGGGCGGACAGGGCGGCGGCTTGTGTCCCGGCGGCGACGCTCAAGGCCCCTTCCTCCTCTTTTTCTGTAGGGTCGAGCGGCGAGAGTGGACACGGCTAAAAGCGAAGGTCAGTGACGCCCCTTCCCACGTGGGGCGGCCCTCAAAGCCCCCCAGGCCCGCCAGAAAGAGAGACGTTCACCCCGTTTGGGGACCCCCGGTGGCAACTCGGGGCACGGGAGCTTCCTCTTTCGCTCTCATCGCTTCCCAACCTTCCCTCCCGCTGGAGACAGGCCACCTGTCAGTAATTTTATGGATTTTTAAAAAATCCATCTCTGTTGTGAAATTTTACCACCACCAGCAGTTGGGGAGGGGGGGGGGGGGGGGGGGGAGAGAGAGACAGAAAAGGAGAATATGTGTATATACACAGAAATACAGATTCCTATAAATATCCGTATCACTAAGTACCTATGAAATTCATTAATGGAAAGACAGCTTTCTAGCTCTCATGCATAAGCTTCAACGAAAGCAGGCCAGCTAGCCAAATAAGTTCGTCAGTGAGATTGGTGTCCACATGCGACCATTCGGCTATCGAAAGTTGTGTAAGATCCTCAGTCGATCACATTATGGGATGGATGTTATCCTTCGGCTATTGTGAAATCATAACCCCACCCATTCATTAATTTCTAAGAAGCAGGTAACATTTCATGCCTGAGCAAATAATCAAGAGTGTTCCAGTATAAAATTTATCCATATAGTAACCTCCTTCCGTAAGATGGCGCCCCCTGCACGTTGCATCCCATTCAGCCTCGTTAGACGATCCCTTATTAGAGAGGTGTTGCAGTCTCCGAAAAACACAGGTGGGATGCCGTCCAAGATCCAGAGATGCAGCCGGTGTGGGCCCCAAACCATCAAGGGGCAAAACCAAGCAGCCCAACGATTTTCCCCCCCCCCCCCCCCCCTGGCCAGCCACACACCTGCAAGGTGCCAGGCGGTGTCTCCCCCTCCGCTCACAGGTCTGCTCCATCTGGTGCCTCCCGGATGCTCCCTTCTGCCTTAGGGAGCTGCGGAAGAGCCCCCTTTCCTGTCCCTTCCCCGTTCGGGAGCTGCTGCACCTAACCCGGAGGCCCCCCAAGCCCCTTGGCAGGACTAGTTTCGTGCTCGAGTCTCTTTGTCTCACGTCCGTCTTCTCTCTCTCTCTCTCTCTCTGCCTTGCTTCCCTCTCCTCATTCGCTCTTCCTTCCTCTCCAGGATCGGGTGCCGGGATCGGGCTCTCAAGGTGCGTGCCTGTCTTCAGGTCTTCCGTTCTGCTTCTTTTCCGAGCTTGTCCTTTGGGATAGACAGACCTATATATACATGCACATCTCTCTATATATAATTTCCCACGCCTTCAAATCCTCTGGAACTGGCCTATTTTTGTCTCCCCACCCGGCTGCCTTCCTTCCAGTTCTGCTGCCCCGTTGCCCCGGCGTGTGGCATCTCTGCCTGGGCCAGGCCCACGGGGGTCACGGCTTCCTTTTCCCCCCTCCAGGTCGAGAAGACGCGGTCTTCAGCTACGAGACGGTTGTCCAGATGGAAGGTGAAACCCGTTTCCATCCCCTCGTTCTCTTGCTTCCTCCTGAACGTATTTATTTGTACTTAAAACTGGCATACCCTGCTTCTCTTAGAAAGCTCAAAGTGGAAAGGAAAAAATAGTGCAATGTCCAGCAGTAAAGGCACTTTTGAAATAAGGGAAACGCAGAGGAGCCGGCAGTAAAATTAGCAACCGGGCCTTCAATTAAAGATTATACAAGCGGCGCCAGAAAGAAGGCCTGCGTCTCCCATCCTGCCGCAGCCAGCAGAGTTGGCTGGCACATGCTGGGGATTGTGGGCTCTCGTGTGCCTCAGCTCGCAACAGATTGCGTCCCATCTGTCCGCTTAGAGAGAGGAGGGTCTCAGCCCGGCACCCATGTCTGTGCCAGTGGCCCATTCAGAGGAAGGCGGTCTGTCCGCAGCTCCCGTGGGAAACCTGCAGCGCTCTTGATGTTGGAGTCCGGTTCCCAGCAGCCCCGCTGCATGGCCGGGCAGGGATGATGGCAGTGGTAGTCCAAGAGCCCCAGCCACGGCAACCTTTTCGGGTCTGTGTCCCCGCAGTTCACTACGCCCGCCCCATCATCATCCTGGGCCCCACAAAGGACCGCGTCAACGACGACCTCCTCTCGGAGTTCCCGGACAAATTCGGATCCTGCGTCCCACGTAAGTCCGTCGTGCGGCAGGGGAGGGGGAAGACCCCGGGGGCGGGGGGCGAGCCCCGGCGGGGCCCCTGCCGCTTTTGCCGCAGGCACCGACGGGCTCCGTGGTCCCTCCTCCTGCAGACACCACGCGGCCGAAACGGGAGTACGAGGTGGACGGGCGGGACTACCATTTCGTGGCCTCGCGGGAGAAGATGGAGAAGGACATTCAGGGCCACAAGTTCATCGAGGCCGGCCAGTACAACAGCCACCTGTACGGGACGAGTGTCCAGTCAGTGCGCGAGGTGGCCGAGCAGGTGCGCCAGGCCGGGCGTCCTCTCCAGGCGGAGGGTGGGCAGCGTCCCCGGCACCTGAGCTCCGTGGCGTGACGTGGCCCCAGAGGCGGGTCGCCACGAAACGTGAGGTCTTCTGGGCCAGACTAGCCGGCCGCTCACCGGCAGGAAGGGCCAGCAGTGAGAGCGGGAAGCGGGGTTGCTTGTGGGGGGCAGGCGGACGGGAGCCTAGAAACAGAGTGAGTCAGGAGGGGTCTCTCGGGCCATCTGGTGTGACCCCCAGCTCCAGCCGGCTCTGCTCGCAACATGCCCACCATGTGCACATCCAGCCTATCTTTGAACACCCCCACCGATGGGGCCCCCATGCGCTCCCTGACCCCGTCCTCTCCCGCTGCCCAGGGGAAGCACTGCATCCTGGACGTCTCGGCCAATGCTGTGCGAAGGCTCCAGGCGGCGCAGCTCCACCCCATCGCCGTCTTCATCCGGCCGCGCTCCCTCGAGAACGTGCTGTGAGTGGCGCCTCGCGGGCGGAATGGGTGCGGGGGGGGCACGCACGGTCTTGGGGTTCGAGGCAAATGGGTCCGAGCATGCCGGCCCCCAGGAGAGCGGTTTTGGGGTGGGGGGAGCCATGCAGTGCGTCGATGGGCCAACTGACCCCTTCCATCTCGACCGGCCAACTTTCCCAGGAAGGCTGCCGGCCGCTTGCACGTTCTGTTCCGCTTGCTTCGGGTTTCATTTCGAGGGTTTGCTTCTCCTCCCATAATGCTGGGTCTTGGGATCGGGCAGGAGAGCCTGGGGCAGGCAGAGCCGGAGCGCTTCAGACGATGCATGAGAAACCTGCGGAACTCACTGCCGCAAGATGTGATGGATGCCACAGCTTTTGGCAGCTTGAAGCTTGGATTGGGCAAATGCCTGGCCAGCAACTCTTGATTCGGGCTGTTGGCTCCACCAGCTCGGGATGATGGGAGTCGTGGCCCCGCACATTCCCAGGACACTGGTTTCAAGAATGCCTTCCTCCAGAATAAATTCTGCTGGAGTGACATCCTTGGGGCTCAAGAGGAACGTGTTTTTCTGACTTTCTTGTTTAAGGCCCTGCACAGAGGCATGGGGCAGGGGTGGGGGGCTCCTAATGATACTGAAATTGGGGGCCATACCCCCAGGAACCAGTGGGCCAGAGGCAGTGCCACCCAATGGGCATAAAGCCGCTGGCTCAGGTGGCTTCCGTGAGCTTAGATCACATCCGACTTCTTACCTGGGGTACCGTGTCCTTCATGTGGCCCCCTGCGTGTTTAGGTGTCCTGGTGGTGTGGTTGTGGTTGTGGTTGGTTTCTTAGTTTGTGACGGCAGGCTGAGCTGCAGCCTAGCAAGCGCCCTGGGCCGCCATCTGAGCCTCCGAGCCCCACGGGGTATTTGTGGCCAAGTCACTAACCTCAAGCCGTACCGCTTGGCTTTCTCGGAACAGTTACTTCTCTTTGAGGCTTCTGGGAAGCGTATGTTTTGTGAAAAGGCAAGCGCGGCCCCACCTCTGCAGCCATCTTGTGAGAGTGCCCACAGCACTTTCTGAAAATTCCCAGCAGCCTGCCTGGAGGGCCCAGGAGCCGCACGTGCCTGGCATTTTGTCTTTCTGCGAAAGAAACCGTGGTCTGTCCTGCATTTGACGGCACACGAGGCAGCCCGTTCCGTTGCTCATTGTAGCTTGTTTCATGCTGTTTTCAATGTTTGCTTGTCTGGAGTTTCATATGGCGGTTGATCACCCTGTGTGGCCAGTTGATGGTCCAGAAATGCAACCGACCGATGCTCCGGGGGCTTCCCCGTTAAGCTGGGGAGAGAATCCCACAGTGACCGTGTGAAGCATGAAGACGCCTCTGCGGAAGCAGTAGCGGGGGATCGCTGGCCCCAAACCTCGCTCCGTCTTTGGAGCTCGCCACCCCCCCGCAGACCGGAATGGTCCGTGTGATCCCGAGATGGGAAATGAAGCCAGGCTGGCCTCTCTCACAGGCCGGGCCATTTTAATGGGCACGTGCTGACTGGGAAGACGCACGCTCCGGTTCCGACGGAGAGGCGAAATTCCTCCGTGCCCCGAATGACGGTGCCTTCGGGCAGCTGGTCGCGGCAGCGCCCGAGGGGAGGCGACCCTGCGCCGAGTCCCAGGTGGGGCTGCCCAGGACACAGGACGGAATGGGGGCACCGCTCAGCACCAGGCCCCCGCACGCCAGCGTGAGACTCGGCACCCGGTGTGGTGCAAGGCTGCCGGAGAGAACGGGCACAGCTGCCTCGGGCTCCAGAAGAGGGAATCACTAAAAATAGCAGTAAAAGGAGGGGAATTAAGCCTTTTAAGTTGCTTTAAAGTGCTTGGAGATTTCCCCGAAACAGAAGGGTTGTGGCTTTATACATCCTGTTGCGGGCAGCGCCCAACAAACACACGCGCACACTTCTGCACGGGTGTAAGTCAGCATGTGAGATTTGTGCCCTGTTTGCTCGCTTGTTCGCCTCTGGATCGGCACCTGGCCATGTGCTGCCAGGGCGCCTCGGAGTGGGAACACGCCGGTCCACGGGGAACATGCCCACCTTCATGCCTTGTGGGGTCGGACAGAACCAAACCGAACTGCCTCGTTCCTCGGGAGAAAATCCTCCAAGTGCTGCCCAGCCAAAGCTCTGCCCCAGCACAGCCGAGAGACTGGCTTGCCGGCCAGCCCTGCCCCCTGCCCCGGGTGAGCCCCCCTTCCCGCCCGGCACAACCAAGGGCGTTTCCAGGGTCTCCTCCAACGGCCCTCCCTTCCCAGGCTCGACTGGGCAGCACCCTCCCTTTGCCAAGACATAGAAGCATAGAAAGGAGCGGGACCCAAGGGGTCTCCTGGGCCATCTAGTCTGACCCCAGCTCCGCTCACGACTCGCCCACCACGTGCACGTCTTGAACGCCCTCACCGAGGGGGCTCCTTCCACCTCCCGGGGAAGCCCATTCCGTACCCGAGGGGTCCTAACTGCCAGGAAGGACTTCCTGGCATCCACCCTCTATCTCACGACCCACCTCTGCGTGCCCCCCTCACCTGCAGGTCGCCAGCAGGTCGCCCCTGACCCTCGGGCTCTCCTCATACGGCTTGCCCGGTAACCCAGCCGCCTCCCCAGTGGCGCTTTGCTGGCTGAACACGGGCTACGGCTAGGCTAGAGCCGGGTCCTTAACTGGGGCTGGGGGACCCACGTGACGGGGCTCGTCTGCCGGAGCAGCTGGGGAGGCGGCGCCCCCGGCCCACGTGGGGCAGGGAGGCCACGTACAGGACTGGTGCTGACCGGCGTCTCGGCTTCCATCCCCAGAGAAATTAACAAGCGGATAACGGAGGAGCAGGCACGGAAGGCCTTCGACAGAGCCACCAAGCTGGAGCAGGAGTTCACAGAGTGCTTCTCAGGTGGGTGCTGGCCGGCCGGCCGAGCCCCCTCCTCCTCCGTGGTCTGAGCATCTGCAGTCCCGCCCGGCCAGGGGACACTTGGGGTGCAGGATTCAGCCTTCCTAAGTTGCTCTGCTTTCAAGAGCGGGTTTCTCGCCCCCGGGCCGTCGGAGGCCGGCGCACCGTCAGCCCTCGCTTGGGACCGGGCAGACCTGCCCAGCTCGGCCCCGCAGGGGTTCTCCTTCGGCGCGGAGGGGTCCCAGCCCGGCTCCCCTCGCCGGAAGGCCACGTGCTGTGTGGATGCGCCGTTTCCGTCGCCCTTTCTCCAAAGGCGAGCGCCTTGCCAGACGCCTCCTCTTCCGCCGTTTGTGGAAGCGGGGGCCTTGCGTGGGGTGCGAACGGGGCACCCGCCTCGCCCCCTTCCTCTGAGCAGGCCGCCTCTGCCAAGTGGCCGCAGAGAGGCCCCACCTCTGGGCTTTTCCCGACCGACAAGCACATGCGCGGCCTGGGGCAGGGGCGGGTTGGTTCCTCCCCCCAAACCTTAGCCAGCCGTGGGAAGAGAGATTTCCTTGGCTGAGCTGTTCGGCGCACTCGCACCGTGGCCGGTCTGTGCTTGGATCCCTGGGGCGCTGCTCTGCCCGGAAAGCGCCGAGGGCTGCAGGGCTTCTGTCTGCCTGAACCTGGCGAACTGTGTGGCCTGAACGCCCTTTAATTTTTTACCTTTCCCTGTGCAGACCATAATCTGCAGACTCCTCATTTTCCCCACTTGGCTTGGTAAAGGCCGGCCAGGCAGGCCAAACTGCTGGAGGCCCAGGAGCTGCCCACCCCGATGGAGAGCCATCGTGGTCGGTGTGGATAAGGACTCGGCATGTGCTCAGAGGCGCTCTTGGGAGGAAGGCGGAGGGGCACGAGCAGGAGATGGAGGTGGAGAGGGCGGAAGAGGGGCGTGAGGCAGAAAAACGTCCAGGGATGGGGCTGGAGAGGCCGGAGGACCCGAGTGCCTGTGCTTCCTCCTGGTCCCCTTGAGTGAATAGGAATTTGCAGTCCTGGGCCGGGGGCTCACCCTGCCCCCGCCGCTCTCTTTGCAGCCATTGTAGAAGGAGACAGCTTCGAGGAGATCTACCACAAGATCAAGAGGGTCATCGAGGAGCTCTCCGGCCCCTACATCTGGATCCCGGCCCGCGAGAGACTTTAAGACCTCTGGACTGACTTTTCCAGGAATGGGAACCGACAAGAACACGGCCACCGGCTCTGCGGCGGAGCCGCCTCCGGAAAGGGGGACCGGCTCTGTCTCTTGCCACTGAACTTAGCTGTTTGGTTAATATTTTGGGATGGGTGGGGATGTCTTGGGATGGGAGTCTTTCGTTTCTTCCTTTATTCTTTAATATTCTCAATTTTTTTTCTTTTCTCCTTCTTCTTGCGTGATCTCGCCACCCCAACCCGATCCTGGTTTAAAATGCTCCCGTTTTTATTTCCGCAGCAAAAGGGGGTGCTTTTTCCCACCCCAACAGTGCTAGCGCATGCATGCTGTCATTTGGGGGGGTCAGGTGGTGGCATTGGGAGACGGGGACTCTTCCGTAGATTCTGAGCTCTTTCGATTCGCAAGTAGCCAGGCACTCTCGGGGCACCAGCTGAGGAGGAGGAGGAGGAGGGTGGGCGCAAGCGTCGGGAGACAGAGATATTTTTTAAGAAAAACTTCCTGCAACCGGAAGGAAGGCTGACCTTTTCTGCGGGGGCCAAGCTGGAAGCCCCGGCCAGAGGATGTGCAGTTGGCCAAGAGGTCCATTCGCTGCTTGGGGCGGTCCTCCTTCGAGCGGAGAAGAGAAGGGCTGGAAGTTCAGTTAGGAAGGGAGAGCACTCCTGCCCACGTCGGAGTCGAAACGTGAAATCAATTCACCACGCTAAGTTTTGCGTTTTTAAGGAAAAAAAATCTATTTTCCCCTGGGATGGAAGGATTACGTTTTCATTCCTTCCCTCTGTATTTTTTGGCTGAAGAATATTTTATGATTAAAGCAAGCACAGATCCAGGACTAGAGAAGCCAAGATAATTCTCATTTGAAAGTATGGCCCGATGACTTTGGGATATATAATATATATATATTATATATTATTATTAATATTATTTTGTTCCCATTGAATTTTCCTCTTTTGATTTTCTCTTTCGTTTCCCCCCTTCAGCGCATGGAGGTTTCAGTGTGGCAGGACCAGGGAGGGCGGCTACTTGGATAAAACACATGAAAACATTTGGTCGGCATGGCGATCTCTATTTTTCTTTCTGGGGAAGGGAAGCGGGGGGAAGAGAAGATAGAAAAGAGAAGTTAGGTTTTTTTAATGTCCAGTGATTATTTTTTGGGGTCATATCAAGTATTTTGGTGTGGCTGTGCGTGATGTATGAAAAAGAAAACCGAGAAGACAGTTTGGGGGTGGGAGGTATACGCAGAGGGCTGTTTTAATTTCACATCTGAAGATTTTAATTTCCAAATCTAATGGATTAATTATTATTTTTTGTATATAAAGAAAAAAGACAGAGTGGACTGGGGGGTTGGAGAAATGTGACTCCCCCATCACCATGCCGGCCACAGCTGGCCCCCCGCAAGACTCAAAATCCCCCACCGCTTAGCCAGTCGGGGGGCGTGAAAATCACGCGACGCATATTAATGTGGGCAGCGAGACTCGTGCTCGCGTGGAGAAATTATTTCCATAGCTGCTATGGAGCCAAGCAACGTGGCCTCGGCCCACCTGCTTGACCTCAGCTTTCAGGGGACCGGGTTCCCCACCTCCCACCCCGCCACCCCTCATCTCTCCAAAAGAGAGCCAAGTTGCTAGCCCTCACCGTTCTAGGAGCAAATCTTTAGAGGAAGCGGTGAGATCTAACCTGCACGGTTGCCTAGGAAGCATTTGTTGGACCCCAGACTGAGAAAGGCCGGGAGCCGGGCCTGGGGGGGTGGGGGGTGCCCACCCCATCTGCCCCCCTTGCAGCTCGGGGGCTCTGCTTAAAGGTCAGAATTGCCCAGTGCAGGCAGAAAGGAGATGCCGGGAGGAGGGAGGGCCGAGCGCAAAGGACACTCGGAGCTGCAGACAACAGGGCCGGGTGGCCCCTCGCGACTCGGCCGACACCACCCGGTTGGTGGTTCTGGAGGGGGAAAGGGGCTTCTAGCCCCCCTGGCAGGGAGGGCTTGCCCACCACCGTGCCCCCGACCCGTTTGGCTGCCCCCAATTGCTTCTGGAGGTCCCCACGCCAGGGCACGGGGGCCCGATCCAGGGCTGGCCAGTGCACCTGAAGGGCTGGACCGGCTTCTCCGGCCCCCGCCGGCGCAGCGCCCCCCAGAGGCGCCCGCCGTCGAGCGGCCTCGTCAAGGGCTTCCTCACACGGGACGGGGTCCCTGCTGCTCCCCCCAAGCGTGTGCTAGCACGGGGGAGGTCCTTCGGGGGCAACACCCCTCCCCCGGCGTTACTTCAAAACAAGCAAACACAATCAAAGAATGTACTCGGAGGTTGTCTCTTGCTGGGGGCTGGGGGAGGTTTGTTGGGGTGGGGGCGGGGGGGGGTTTGTGGGGGGGGGGGGGGGGGAGGGGGCGGGATGGGCGGGGAGATATAAGAGAGTATTTTGCATAGAAATATTATCGCCTTCGGCAAACGAATAATTAAAAACCAATGAAAACCCAGCTTGGCGGTGGTCCGCATGTTCCTTGCTCGGCGGCTGGACTCTGGCTCCCGTTTGCCCGGACTTGACACGACTCGTTGGGTGGCCTGCGGGCCGCGGCTTGGGGAGGGGAGGGGGCGATCCCCGGGGGGAGGTGGCTGGCCCCGGGTTCAAGCCGCACTGCCCCCCACCCCGCATTAGGGGCAGGAGGGGGAAGGAAGAGAGAACCTTGCAGGGGCCGGACCGTCCGGCCCGCCGCAGTGCTCCCGGGATCCCTTCTATTTGCCCGGCTCCAGCAGGTGTCCTGTGTCGGGGTGGCCGCCACCGCAGGGCTTCTTCCTTGGGGTCGGTGATGGAGCCTTCTCCCACCGGAAGGTCCACGGTCTGTTTCCCCGAGCCCGAGGGGTTCCTCTCGCAACACTCGGTCCCGAGCCGGGTCACGGGCAGGAACAGGGCTGGCCAGGCTGGAGGAGCCGACTGTCGGGTCTGTATTTGAAGAGGACTGCTGCCAGTAGGATCAGGGTGGCCTTTGTCCCCTCCCGACTGGGTCGGGAGACAGAGGGCACGGAAGTGGCACAGGGCTATAGCCAGGGCACTGCCAGGCACTGTGCAAACGCTCCCTGGACCCCCCCCCCCAGTGGGGCAGCAGCGTTGGCAGCGTTCGGAAGTGCTGTGCCGTGATGGGCATCCACAAACGGCGCTTCCCAAGTGTGACACCACTGAGGCTTCTGCAAATGCAGCCTCTGGGCATGAGCTAAGTGCGGGAGGTCTTTGGGTGCCGGTCCGTTTCTGCTGCAGCCGAGGGGACCGGGACCCGCCGAGGCCCGGCTGGGAGATGTCCGCGGAGGCTTCCCCAGTGCCCCTCGCAGAGCGACTCGCCCCTCGTGCGGTGTGGGGCCACACGTCCCATCCTCAGCCGGCGAGGCCCAGGATGCGGGGGCAGTGCCGCAGGCCCTCCCCTCCATCAAGCCCTCTGCGTCGCAGTGACGTTTATCGGAGCTGTTCCTGGGGTGAGCCGGACACCCGGCCCCCCCGCAGAGAGAGAGGCGATGGCAGGAGCGTTGTGCCTGGCTGGGGGCCGCCCCCCCCCCCCCCCGAGCAGCACCCCTTGCTGGCCCGAGTCCGTGGCCCATCTGGCTGGCCTGGCAGGCGCGTGTTCCCGTGGCCCTTCGTTTGGGGCTGGACAGGAGTGGGTCTGGATCGGTGCCCCTGCCGGGGCAGGGCCCCCCGGCCGGGTTCCTGCTGCCGCTCTGCTTTTGCAGGGTCTGAAGAGGGAAGCGCTGTTGACAGTGCAAAGATCACGGGGCCAGGCGAGCGCCGCACGGAGCGCGAGGAGCCGCCGGACGGCGCCCGGGAGGGGACCCCCCGCCCTGCGGGGCTCCAGGGAGACGGGGCTGGCAGGGCCCTCTGTTCCCCACCCCCAGCCCCCCGGCAATGCCTTGTGCACACCTGGACACAGTGGGGGTGGCGGACGTTGCCTGGGCCAGCCAAGCCCTTTGCTCCGCTTCCCGGGGTTCAGACGGAGCGGCTTGGAGCCCACTGGGGGCCACCCCACATCGCCCCGACCTGGCTCCCTCCTGTGGCTTGCCTGCAGGACCGGGCAGGGCAGCCTTCCTCCAGCCAGCCCCAAGGGCCGGCCTGCCCGGGCCCACTCCCCAGCAGGGGCCCACTGGCAAGACCCCCTCCCCCGGACTGGCCCCTCCCCGCCCCCATCGATTGATTTATTTCCAAAGGCCAAGGCTCTCTGGGTGGTTAGCGGAGGTTAAGGGAAAGAATAAAGCACACACAAGATAAAATCCGCTGAGAAAGCTCAATATTAGAGAACGTAGTCGACGCTCCACTGTTAAAATGCAGGGAGGAAAAGGGACAGACCTTCACCTGGTGCCAAAAGAGAGAAGCAGCAGGGGCCCGGGGCAGCTCTGTGGAGGCTCAGGTGCCACAACCAAGGAGGCCCTGCCCCATCCTTGGGAAGAGGCCCCCGGAGCAGGGCCCCACGGATGAGCTCGGAGGCCGGGCAGGTGCGCATGGGGATGCGATCCTTGCGAGGGCCCGGCCAAAGCCCCGTGCTCCGGCACGGACCGAGGGGCGTGAGGCGCCCGGCTGCCTCGCTTCCGGGCGTCTGCCGGCCGCGCAAGCAAGCAGGGCCCTATGGGGGGCAGGGAAGGAGCACGGGGGGCCGGAAAGGCCCTCCCCGAGGGAGTGAGCCCACGCAGGGGCCCTCGCCCAAGCCCCTCCGGAGCCAGCGCGGGGCCTCCCCCGACCCAGATGTGGGGCGTGGCAACACCGTCCCCAGGACGATGGGCCCTGCAGGCTGCTGGTGGCACAGTGTCTTTGTCGGTGGACTGTGAAAGGGCCGCTGTGCTGCGGGAGGGTGCCGAAAAGCCGGCCCGGCCCTGAGAAGGGCAGCCAAGATGACTTGCGGCGGGGGGGGGGGGGGGCAAAAGGGGGGCCGGGGGGGGGGGGGGGGGGGGGCGGGTTGGGTTTGGAGAAGGGGCGAGGGGGGGGGAGGGGGGGGGGGGGGCAGTTCACCTTCCTCAAAGACAAGCAGTGGGGCCCGAACCTCGCAGAGGCTGCTTGCAGCTGACTAGCCGGAGGGCCGTAGGACCCACGGCCTGGGGAGGGGGCCTTCCACCCCTGGAGGTGTTCCAGCAGCGGCTGCACCGGACTCCGTCTCTGAGCA